AGATTTTAGTCAGTGTAAGTGCAATTTCCGAAAGAGAAACTTTTTCGAAAACATGTTTATTTGGACCCGTTTTGATATCATGAGGTATAATCAACAAAAAATCAATTACATTGTTTTGTACTCTGTCTCGAACTTCGATAAAGATTGCTCGACGTTCGTGTAACGAGATATGTCACTCGAGTTCAAAAAATCGGAGTTGACACATGCGTGCTTCCCCATGTTTCATTTACACATGATTAACTAAATCGTATTATTCGCGCTACGCGCGTTTCGACGAAACGTTAACCCCGGCATTACACGCGAGTGTAACACTTCATAGACCCTTCATAGTACGTGCCACCGCTTATAAGCTACTTGTAATTGGATTACAGACTTACAGAACACTCGTACACTCCGACGCAAAAGTCCTGCCCCGCAGGTTGTATGATATTCGTGGCAAAATGGTTTAGTGCCAGACACGTATAAATGGTCTTCCAAATTTTGCACAGAGTACTGCGTCATTTGTTACCATAAATAATAAAAATTTTGAAAAGTTGATCTATACTAATATCAGAAGAATGAGAGACCGAATTATAAAGCAATAACATTTTAATGTTAAAATAAAAATTCGTAGGGATTAATTTCTCAGGAACAATAATATCGATGTGTGATTCCGATATGTTACTCTGATAGGCAGTTTCAAAAATACGTCATAAACATCGTTAGAGTAGCGTTTAACATTATATATTACATGTGTTCACAAGAAGGCAATTTACATTGTAATAATGTTCGGTTCATTTTTGTGCAGTCAGGGAACACATTAACTCATTGTCGGCGAACATACAATAACAGTAACGCCGGCAGTAAAAAAAAAACCCGGAGCCATGTAACCGTAACGATACTTCATCTCCTCCTGAAACCGGCACGTGTCTACAAAGCGACTCTATAAACCCTCCGCAAAACATGCTCCGTTGAACATGGTATTTGTATAGGGCTACTTACCTACGACGCACGTGCTCAGATCGTGTACGTGTGCAGAGAGATGGGGGCTGGTAAATATCCATTGTAATTTAAATTTCAAAATGGATCGCCATCAATGTGCGTGAAGAGCACTAATCAGAATATATAGCGTACATCGAATTTTTCGATGTGCCCTCCCGCTCTTGGCATTCTTTACGCTTTCTGTATAATTATTCAAATAGGACACACCTCGAGTCAAAAAGGGGAAAAGAGCGGTAGAGAGTTTAATTAATACTGCTTTTTATAAATTTATGAATTCGTGAAATTTTTTAATTTATACATTATTTTTATTATATTTATTTCGGCATTTAAATGAGTGTGTTTGTATAATATGCATGCTAATTTAGTATCTTTAAATAGGAGGTTTAAAGTTCTTTCAATGATAAATGCACGTTTGCGTGTAGCGATTGTAAGTAATTCGATCCACTTTCGATCTCTTGTCAGCTCGGTTTCTTCCAATCGAATAGATGTGATTATTCTTATCGATATAGGATTATGCAAAGAAGCTATCCCGAACGCGTGCCTCTCCCTAGGCGGTTTAATGAATTGAGTTAGTCATGCGTGAATCATTGAACGATCATTTTTAAGCCTCGGGTTTCACCCGGTTAGACGTGAAAAACCCAGAGAAAGTATGTATAATGAATATAATTAATTGTATTTCTCGTAACACATTCGAAACTAACTTTGTTACGTATAAAGAACTATTTTGACTTCGTCTCAGACGTTCTTTCCTTTGATTCAACAATAACGCAGATGCTCTTTTTTACCCCGAACAATGGGAGGGCAACGTAAATATAGCTTCCGGTAATACGGACCACCCTTTTTGACGGGCATTTTGTATCCCGCTACCAACGCCCGTCGCTTTTGATTTCGGTCTGCACAAAATTAAGTTTTAAATGTACAGCGTCAGCGAATTTAAAATCTGACACGTTTAATATTAACACGATTTATTATAATATTTTACATTAATAAGGATATAAAGTAATTATATTACGAAATTAAAATTAAAGCCAAGTTTTTTTAAATTTTTTTCGTAAAATGTCTAGATTCTAAATTTTGTAAACTCTAATCATAAATTTTGTGATTTATTTTACTTTATATAAACAAATTGAAATAAAATTTTTTAAGGTGATAAATATTTTATTACAATAAAATCTCTTTATAATTAAATATAATTATTAAATAAAATATGTATGTACATGTATTAGACATATATTACATATTTTTAAATAATATTTTATTTTAATATAATGTTTAATGTAAAGCTTTATTAAGATACATGTATATATATATATATATATATTTGAAAAACACTGTTCTATAAAATTTTAATATAGACTACGTCAATCTTTGAGCGCTTCAGCGCAACTATGCCTGGAGAAACTTGTCAGTGCAAAGGTCGTAAGTGCATGTACCTGCGCGTCTGGCTTAATGTTCGGGGCAGACGAGCGTCCTTTTATGGCAACGAGTCCTTTCACGAACTGCATTCTTGACAGGCTTTCCATCGCGTTCACAGCGCATAACCTCGTGGTTCCAAAAATAAGATCGATACAGGTATTCAATCCACATACAATAAACTTGAGCTATCAATACAAAAAGGGAGACAGATGAGAGAAAGAGATAAATTTTATATGTATAGATAGATACACAGATAAGGTGAGGTTATCCCTCTCGGATTGGAACGGAAGAAATGGATTAGCATATAACTATTATCTAAGAAAAATCAATTTTGAAAAATAAGCTGAAGAAAGAATTATTGTGAAAGATAAAAATTAACATCTGAATTATTTTTTGGAGAAACAAACTTATCTATTTCAAAAAAATTTAATAAGAAATGTGTTTTAATATAAATTCCTTTTAAACTTTTATTCATTTAACGAGTAGACACGCATGTTCAAGTATAAAACTGCTATCTTTTATTAGTGGATATTTATATAATTAAAAAATTAATAAATAATTAATATAAAGGTTATTAATATTAAATTTTAAATTAAATATCTATTTAATTTAAAATGTACAATTACGGAGGGTTAATATAAATATATATTTTTTAAATTAAAAGGATATTTAATTTGAAATTTATTAATTATAAATTATAATTATTAATTATTTTAAATTAATTATAATTTATAAAATTTATTAATTATTCTTTGCATAGAAAATTAAGTTGTTATTTACAGCACTGACATGTTACGTATATTCGCCAGATTGTAGTTGTTATCCGAGTTATGTTACGTGCAGACTTTTACGTTCCGCAATGCAGTGAGATACTGTTCATTGTGCGACGGTAATGCAGGAGTAAAAAGCCTTTATCATGCTCGTTGAAGCGATTCCATATCAAAGAACTAACTACGACAGAAAAGGGGGATGAGAATAGGACAGAATATATTACGGGTATGTCATACACGAAATGGAATTTCATAATGTAACTGTGATATTATTGACTTGACAGAACTATAATGAATCGTGATAAAAAAGTAACTTTCACATTTGTTTGGAAAAGCAATTATAATTTAATTTCATTAACATTTATATTATTCGAAGTATACGTATCCGCGCGCGCGCGCGCGTTCACACGTTTTCCCATTAATTCCCAGTTAATTATTCTACTCTTGTTCCAGTACGAAATTAATTATTAAAGCAAGACCACTAATGGGAACGGAGAAAAAACTTCGTTAAAAATTAACTTCGTTATGAATGAATTATTTTATCGATTTAGCGGGTGAAATTTTATTTCAGCTCATTCAAGAGGATTAAATTCTATATCTTTTTGCTTCTCTATTACAATCATTGTTATTATATTGAACTGTTTTTAACTTAACATCCTCTAAATATTTCTCCCTTTTATTGCTATATTTCGTGTGTCAATTACATAGACCACTTCCTTTCCCATAGAATTTCTCCCCGAGCATATCTCCCTTTCGCTTAAACGCGCCGCGTTAGAACGAATTATCGCCACCGCAAGAGCTCGATTTTCCGCGCGCTCTTCATGGAAGTGCAGGCAATTACATTTAATAGAAGCACCCGCACTAATGATCGTAGCGACGCGTTAATTCCGCGTCGTTGTCGTCCGCCGCCGGAACTTCGCCGAAGATCGCGTATATGACATCACCGTTTGCCGGCGATGGGCCCGGTGAGGGAGAAAAGAATCCCAAAGAGATACGAGGGGAAGAGAGAGAGAGAGAGAGAGAGAGAGAGACGACATGGTCGTTCAAGGCGCTTCAATTGAGCTCGCTCGATTATAGAGAGGCGGAGGACGGACAGATCTCGCCGGCATGCAGCTTCCTCGTAAAACGCGTCTATCCGCGCGCTGCACTCCGGGGACGGGGATCGCCGTTTAAGTGATCGTTACGTCTCTTATTCTCGGCGACGGAACAACGGGACAGACGGGATCGCCGGCCTCTCTCTCGAAATAGACGCGACAGATGGACGAGAGCGGAGGGGAAGTGTCGGCGGATCTGGTGCTAGGATTTTATGGATTTAAATTGGCCAAAGGGCTCTCTCTCTCTCTCTTCGCCGGACTAGCTGCCGCGCTGCCGCTTTTGCTGCGTGCCCAATTGGCGCGCGCGTGGAAACCACCGGCTCGTTGACTTTTCGAATGAAACCAATTGCTTCTGCGGCACCGATACAACGATACGTGCCATCTGCCCGCAATACGGCATCGCGCGCACGCATCCGTCGCCGTCGAAAGTGTCGTGTCAGAGACCACGCGGGGGTCCACCGGAGCGGAATTCGTTCGCCGCGAGCGTTGAGCGCATGGAGACGTCGCGGAACATCGATCCTCTCGATGAAACTTTTGCAGCGCGCGATTTTGCACAGGCGAGACACCAATGATGCTAGAAATATCGATTTATTGACAATCGCGAATAATAAGAGGCTATATAGCATTGCGGACTCGCTGTAAATCTCTCCATTATGTTTCACTCAGCAGCTTCCTTTCTATCCATTTCTATTGTTGTTTTCCTTTTTTTTTTTAATAGTTTCTTTTTGCGTTGCAGCAGAAATGCGTGAAAGCGCGAGCTCTGTACGACAATATCGCCGAGGCGCCCGACGAGCTGGCTTTTCGAAAAGGCGACGTCCTCACCGTACTGGAGCAGAACACTGCCGGTCTTGAGGGATGGTGGTTGTGCGCTCTGCGAGGTCGACAGGTAGTTATTTGAAAAGACATAAAATATTATATCTACGGATCTTTCTCAAATTGAACTCAAATAGAAGCTCGAGATCCTTACGGAATAACGTAGGGAATTCCTATATAAATTTCCGCGATATCTTGTATCTCGAATGAATTCATCTGACAGGTTGCACTAAAATAATTTAACAATTTTTATCTCTCTAAAGATGATCGACTCGTCGGTTTTATTTTATCTCTATTTCACGACTCGTCTGTAAATATCAAAATTCTAAATCGGATTACGATCCGATTGCATTTGGATCTACTAATCGAAAATGCGTATTAGACGCGAATGTGTTTATAATACATGAAACTTCCTCGCGTTTCGGGATTCCGCTTGCGTCTCCATTAGCCATGTCTCTCCTCGTTCTATTACGTTCTAATGGAGTTTATCCGTCGTATTAACGAAGAGCACGCGTTGGGTAATTCCACGTACGTATCTATGCGCGTCTCTATAATGCATAAGGCATAAGACCAGATCCAAAATGAGATTCTCTCTCTCTCTCTCTCTCTCTCTCTCTCTCTCTCCTCTCTCTTCCTCCCTCCCGTCTTTTCTTCTTCTTTCTCTCTTTCTCCTGACAGAGGCATTATTATCACGAAAATAGGACGCTCAACTACGATATTCTAACTTCGTGATTTCCGCCTTCAGGCTGATGCCAGACATGAATATACACAGACGTGACTACCAATTATTAAGAATTGCCAATACGCTCATTCAATTAGTAAGATAGAAACGAGAGAGTAAGTAACAAAAGAAATTTCTCCTAAATTACAAGTAATCAAAGTAATAATGTTTTTTTCTTGGCATATTGTTAAAATGCTAAAATGAAGTAAATAAATTTTATTCTAAGTAATAATGTTTTTTTGTCGGTGAAGTCATCGCAGTTCGATACAAGCGCCAGGGAATTTATTTTTAACTCAAAACATTCAGTTATCAAACATTATTTTAAGTAATAAAAATCCAATGCACCACTTTTATCTGTGTCAATTTAATAATTGTTTCATTTCACTTTGATTTCATAATTTCCTATCTCGCTTGTGTGATTTTTCGACTTGTTGAGTGAAAAATCATAAATAGATTCAGCATATATTTTTATATTAAAATTTGTGACTTTATAAATTTTATATTTATTACATTATTATTTGTTATCCATCTATTTATTTTATATAACATATACAAGGTGTCCCAAAACTCTTAATTAATATTTCAAGGTGTAAAAGAAAATGAAATTTTGAACTAAAAGTTCCTTTATCAATTTTGGCTCAGACCATTATTTACAAAGTTACTACAAATAACAAATAAAGTTAATCAATTAGATTGCGCTTAGCCGAAATACGAAGGAGCGTAGCATGCCATGCGACTCTTCGCGTTTACTTCTCTCGATTAAAATTTCATTCTAAATTTTCATATTAATAAATAATCAAATGAATAAATTAATAAATAAAGTAGGTAAATAAATAAATAAATAAACACACAAATAAATAAATAAGAATAAATTATAGTTCGAAATTTATCTAATTTCTGATTGTTTTTATTCTTACTTATTATTTACTTATTTTAATAAGGAAAAGTTTAATGGCCAAGAACTTATTAGAACTTTTACTTATTTATTAATATGAAAAATTAGAATAAAATTTTAATCGAGAGAAGTAAGCGCGAAGAGCCACACAGCATGATACGCTCCTTCGTACTCCGGCTAAGCGCAATCTGATTGCGATTAACTTTATTTGTTAATAACTCTATAAATAATGGCCTGAGCCAAAATTGATAAAGGAACTTTCAGTTCAAAATTTCATTCTCTTTCACGCCTTAAAATATTAATTAAGAGTTTTGGGACACCCTGTATACTCCGTTGTGCAAAACAACTTTCATATTATATTGAGCTTTTAATATTTCGTTCCCTTAATGTTATACCTTGTTCTTGACGGCTCCTCATGATGCTTCATTCAAAAAGCGAATTTATCCCCGGCGGTAACAAAGCTGTCGTCGGCTTCTACGTACAAGTGCTTCGCGTGCACGAGACTGCTTATGCACATCTGTATAATGCATAAGAGCCGATACACCAGAGCGGCCCCGGAGCTTCTCGAGGTATGACGAGGGAACGTTATTATCGCGGAAATGGGACTAACGATCGTGCATTGCAATTACCTTCGATATAGGAGCAATCTCGTTTCTGCGATACCAACCATCGTAAATACCTTTACATTACTAATCGAGTGTTCTTAAAAACGGAAAGATAAAACTCATTTGTATTAGATACACGTAAAGTATCTAATAAATCGCGTATATTCGCGATGAAGAAAAACGGTTAAACAAACCTGTCTTTCAAATTATTTGAAAATAGTGAACTTGTAACATTAAACATTTTATATAATAATTAATTTATTTTTCAAATTAGTTGCAGATTGATTTATTCGTGTCGTAACCGATGTTTTCAATTAAAATTCCGCAAAGTCATCTCCGCGTTCGAGAGATGTCTCTAATCGGGTCCATGACCTCGGGCAAGCTCCTCACTGCACGATCTTATCGAACCACTTTTCCTGAAATGTTTTCCGGTTGCCGAAACACTCGGTTTATTGCCGTTACTATACTTATACCGATCCGAATACATGTGTGCGACGGTAATTGAGAGTAAGGGCGATGTGATGTGGGTGGAGGATGATTGAATGATACGGTCTTCTGATCTTTATTGGAAACTGGGAACTTTTGACGTCGTCGGAATAGACCATTGGTGAAAGTATTGGTCAAACCAGTGGTTTGTGGGTCTACGACGGACATTTCCGCGATCTATTGGTAGATTGAAGTTATCGGATTCTTACTCTTTTTCAGCGAGAAATTCGCCACTCAATCGTGGAAGCTTAATTAAAATTAAACCTGATTCCATCAATATCACTTGTGTTATCAACGCTTCTGCTTTGATTACATTTGAATCGAAATAACGTGAAGGCCAATAATGCTCAATTACGAAAAGATTGATGGAAATTCGCTCTGCGAAATTACGAGCTGTTGATCTGCGACGTCAAAAATAGGCAATATATTAAATAATGCGTGAAAACTTCTTTTATATTTTTCACATATTTTCTCGCGGTTTTTTTCTGTTGAAAAATTTATATCTGAAGAAAATCTGAAGTTTCGACGAGTATCACTAAACCCGGGATCTTACCATGTTGGCAAAACATTATGTTGCCATTTCACCGAAAACGCGTATCTCCTGAGATTTATGAGTTACAACTTCGTAGCACTCGAGATAAACGAATGAGTTACGCGGCATGCATCACTCGGTGGCAACGCTCGTTCCTCAACGCAATGGAGGGTGTAACGTTTATTTTCGTCCCGATCTCACGAAATTACACAAACTCGCGACACATTCACAGACGGCTAATTGGAGCCTCCTCTCGCTCGCAGTCCTTCCTGCGAGTGGGCTGAAAAGCTATCGAGCCTTTTTAGGAAGGAAGAGTAGGCGGACGTAAAAAGAGCAAAAATATAACAGAACATATAATAGAAAAATATAACAGAATGTAAATAATATATTTGTCTGACGTTTGAAACGTTAACGATTCTGTGGAGATTTTTGCTCAATTAAGTCTCTTTAACAAATAAAAAATAAAAAATGTAGAATATGTTCTAAATATAGAATTGGACGAAAAATACCAGAAATGATAATATAAATTATCTATTTATTTGTTTTGCAAAGAATTTTTAGTCATAAGAAGGAGGAAATGCATTGAATTTTGTTAAAGAAATCGACAGCACATGCGCGATTAAAAATTTATTCGCGCGGAGCGTCGGAGTCGAGCTGTTGTTAGGTTATTGTATTTTTTTTTCTGCCCTAGGGCATCTGTCCAGGAAATCGATTGAGGCTTCTGGTTGGCCAATACGATACGGGGGGTTGTTTGGTCGGCAGCAGGGCCGACCTAACCATTGCAGAGGATGGCATACAGAGACACGGGAAAAGGCGTAGCTGGCACGTACAGCCCAACAGAGTGAGTTATTTGAAACTATTCTCAAATCGCATATACTTTGAACTTATATGTACATATAGACTTATATACACATATATATACATATAGACATTGCACTTCACGCGCCTATTTCTATTCTTAAATCGCAAAGCGGAAGTAGATTCTACGTTGCTGCACATGACGTCTCATATTACTGAGTTAGTCTTCGTCTGCGAACCGATATTTATTATTATTCGGACCTGGAGTAAGCTAGAACTTGAAATAAACTGTGCCAAAAACCTTTGTAATCACATAAAAGATGCATTTTGCGATACATAAAAGATGTACAAATATACTAATTGCAAAACTGATTTAATTATCAGAGCTATAAAGAGGAATCATATAGTTAAAAAATCGTGCATGTAAAAGGTAGCTGTAAAAGGTTTACTGTAAAAAGTAAAGCGTATCTTCAGGAAATCTCGCGATAAACAGTGCGAGATTTGTTTATGAATTTTATAACTATAACTTTAAACGCGGATTCATTACGTTCCTCAAAGGGAATTACTGAGGATTTGCACAAACGCGTGATTACGACGATCATTTTTCCGTGCCTCGTATTTGAATGGCATTTTATTGGCCCGCCTGCAACAGCTGGCTTCTCGAATTAATATATCCGCGAGTTGAAAAGGCACACGAGAGCAACGGGGGACTTCCTACCGATCGATCATTTGTAAACGCAACTACGGACAGGGTTTCCCAAACTTGATATATCCAATCGATCCATAGATTTGTACGTTGTTTTAATCCGGGAATTTTTTTCTATACGTAAACAATCACCTGTCTTTTTTATATCTTTATTAAAAATCACTATTATTAATTATATATTGTATATTATTGACTGTTTTACAATTTATTAGTATTTGAAATTATTATGTATACAGATTTGCTTGATATTTTCTAAAAAAAAGAGAAATAAAAAAATGAATATGAATTCCCAAAAGAAAACTACTGTAATTGAGTTTCACTTTCTTGCTGTTGAGATATAAAAATCGTCTCTCAGGTGACTATTCCTGGATTAAGGAAAATTGTAACAAAAAAAAATATAATTTACGTATTTAATTAATTGTATTTATTAACCACAATGCGATAATTTTTCCAATTCGTTTTAAATTATAAGCGTACCTACTGCAGACACGCACGGATTTACAAACCGAATGAGGATCAACCTTTTTATTTTTTTACGGTTTGAAAGCGTAGCCGCGCAGCAAATAATAAAACAATCGAAGTTACGGATAAAGCAGTCGCTTATTATAGATTGGAGATATTCCTTTCAAATAACGGAAAACTTGATCATCGGAAAGGTAATCTTGTTTCGAACAATTTGTGTATAAATTCTGTTTAACGACAGGATCCCAATGAAACGGAACGCTCGTTCATCCATGAAGAATACGAATCGATATCTAAATTATCTCTCTCTCAGCCGTTCGCGTAAGCTCCCTTCATTTTTTGATACAATAACGCGTTCCGGTTTTTCGCGGATGCGGAGTCAGTCAGTTCTTTATCAGCGAGCTAACAAAACCACAAATATTCGTGTTACTTTTCTGATTTTTCTGTCCGAACAATTACATCGGTTCGCTGGTCACGAATTGGGAGACCCTGCGCCGCGGAATTGACAATGGCGCTGGGACGGCAGTTCATTGTGCTCGTCGCGGGGGCCGACCTTTTACGCCCCCACATTCGCTGAAACGGGATCTGTCAAAATCAGCTGACTGCCACTTGGTTCGTTCGGCTCTTGTGGACGGCCGCCGTCGCGGCAATCGGCTGCGTATCTGGCTCTGTCGCGATTTAACATCTGCCAGTGACATCAAATTCGATCAAATGAATACGAGCCACGGTCGATTAGGGCGTTGAATTTGCCCGCTACACACATAGCGCCAGAGCGAAAGTAATTGCCTTTGTATCAAAATTTCGCCGATTTTTCCGAAATTGGTGAAACCGTATAAAGAAAATTCAATACATTATAACAATATTATGTATAATGTAGCAATACAATACGAAAAAGATATAAATAATTTTTTTTGAAATTATTAAAAATCGAGAGTTTGGAAAATTATTTTATCTCTCATTTTATAAATTTAGTCGTGACGTGATTATTTGAATTACTCTATGTATGTATTCATGCAAAATTTTAATCCTCTTGAATTTAAATTCTTTTTTAATCTAATTTCGAATTAATTTTAATTTAACTTTTACATTTATTTTTGAATCTTCGACTACTTAAATTAATACATTCGTAACTGTGAAATTACATATTACCGCAGTTGAATTTTCCAATACGTTCGTCTCAAACCATCTCTGGATGTCTCGAGACTTGATCTGGTCTTTCGCGGGCAATGTATTTCGGGGTACCAGAGCGCGTCGAAGACGGTGTGCTGGCAGCCTCTCGAGCTCTTCTTGTTTCCTGGCTGGTCTCCGAGGACTTTTTGTGCTCCGTGCGATCTTCATGGATGAACATCCGGACATATCTCCGTTGTCGTCGTTTCGTCGCGGTGCACGCATGTGCGTTTCTACGACAGAAATACGATGCTGTTGTCGTCGTCGTTGTCGTCGTCGCCAGAGTCAATGTAACGCGAATGCGCTTTCTTGCATCGGCTACGTCACGCGGGTGACTGCACGGGGAACGAGAGTATTTGCAGGTGACACAAGTTAGACTCATTGTCAGGTTTGGATTGTTGTTATGATTGAATTTATTGGGTTCCAACATTTTTTCGTTTCTCATTCCTTCTCTTCCTTTTTTGCAATTTTTGTTTATCTCCTCTTCTTTTATAGCGACAACGAAATATCACGCGACTATAAATTTCATTTAAAGTTAAATAAAAGTTAAAAGCAAAAAGTTAATGCACAAATCTCTGCTTGATGTAAAATCTCACGCAAATAGCGCATAATTTATCGTATATCTTGTCGTATCAAACTTGAGCTAACAACTTGTCCAGCTTCAACATGAGCGTGTATCAAATCTGCATTTTAAGCGAACACATCACAACCACAAGAAAAAAAATATCACATATTTCCGCATTTCCCGCATATTTTCGATCGAACAATTTCAGGAATGTAAATTTCTCGGCTCCAGAGGAGATCGATACGCGATAGGTCTTCGGGCAGCACTTTATGGTTGTCGCGGCAGGTATTACCACCCTCTACGAGACCACCCCAATCGCTTCACCTTCCTATCTGCTCTTCCCATCCGTTGCAACCGTGACATACCGTCGCGTCGCGTCCCCAAGCGATTTACAAGAAGCCCATACTGCAAGATACCCTACAAGGGGCTACCTCTTCTGACGCGTAGGTCCGCGGATGTCCTTATATGTCCGCCGATTCTGGACAATGTCCACCTTCTGTGATGCCGCTACTCCCCGGTTTCTCTCCTCCTCCTTCAAGCAACGTTCTCCTTCGCAACGCGAATAATGTGTGCATGGGGAACGGCACCCGCGCGCGCGCACGCGGTGGGGTCCCATGGAGTCATCTCGATGGAATGTCTAGGGCGGTTAGGCTCAAAGAAGAGCGGACGCGTTTCATCCTGCGTCTGTGTACATCCACGCGAGAGTTCTCTTCCTCGGTCGCGTTACCCTCGCACTCCTCTTCCGTCTCTCGCCCGACTTCCGAGAATAGCCTCGTGCACGTTTTTACGTGTTAGAAATCTGCGAGGCCGGACGCTTCCATCCTTGACTGCGGCTATCCGAGTCGTTACACGAAGCAATTATAAATCAGATAAAAAATAAGTTAAAGGACAATAATAGAAAGATAAATAAATCAGAGATAAGAAATAGAAAGATGAAGTGATATACATATACATATCCTATACCTATAGGTATACGTATACATTACATGTTATCATCTTCCTGAAACATCCGAATAATATAATTCTTGTAATTCGAAATATGTAATTCTGTTTTAAAGTAAATTTTCAATATATAAATTTACTTTAAAACAGAATTACATATTTCGAATTAAAAAATGCATTGCTAAAAAGAGAAAACAGTACACAATTTGTAAGTACTTCAAGAAGATATATAGAATGAATTTGATATTTTTTCGTTAAAAACGAAATATGTAATTTAGTAGAGTTTTTTTTACTAGATATTTTCAGAAGAGTTTATTTCGTTTTTAATTATCGTAATCTGTATTTCATGCATCTCAAAATCATCTAAACTTAATTTATATATTTTGCGACCTTTAATATATTTTAGCTATTATAAATTTTATGTTTCAAAGAAAGATGAATACTATTTCTTTTTTTTATAGTTAGCTAGCTCCTACACAACTTATACGTATGTTTAATTTATATCGATAAATTTGCATTGCTAATGCGTTTATCGAAAACGAGACATTTCGTAGTGTCTGGGCGACTATATTTGCCGTCTGTGTATGTTGCGGGTATTTAAATTCTCGATACACAAGAGGAGAAACACGAGCGCGTACGACGTAGGCGAAAGGAGCTTCGTACACACCGGTGATGTTAACTAGAATAACCAGATCGTGGCACGTTCGACTGCCCCTTGGTTTGCAACAGCCTGCACGTATAATACGCGACTCGACGTACATACGCGATTCGAATCCGCGAACTCAATGCGCGACAAGTGCAACTCGCTCGCATTTCCGCGTGGGCGACGAATGCAGGTTCGGTGATTTGAAAATTCTATACCCTCTCTATCTTACGAGATATTCCAATCAAATGCGAATGTAACAAAAAATAACAAAAAAATCATTAGATAACGTGTAATATGTAACATATAATAAATCGTCTATAAATATCTGATAAAATTGCTGATGTATACGATTGATTTGTTGAAACCTAGAGAGAGCGATGCCAATCGAGCGCACCGATCACATTGATCAATTCATTGTGAAAGAAATGGAATAGAATCAGATAGCAATTCTTCGAATTAGCAACGCTTTCTACATAGCTTTCGCGAACCGTAGTTGAAGGGACTTGAAGAAACGCGCGGATACTTTGCTCTTGCATTCAGATCGCAAGGATAATT